ATATATATATTACTATACACTCATATATATTGCTCCAACGAAACACGACGCTCTATATATATATATATATATATATATATATACAGCGCCTTTTATATCAGTGAGTTATTTTGATGGAATTGCTGATGTCCGATATTTAACATTATTGCTAATATCAATCGATAAAATGCCGATAATATTGTGAATCCCTAATTATTATTGTCCCCACATGTTTAGCAGAAAATTGGCTTTTTTTGTTGTTGTTGTTAAAGTGTCTCCCTAAAAGGTTGAACTTTGACCCCTGAAGTGCAGTGTTGTCAGCAGGGGGTCCCCTCCAGAGTTGTATGGGAACCAGCTGTGTCTGTAGTCAGACATGGGGGCTTCGGTGTCCTGCTGCATCTCGCCCGGTGAGAGCCCAAAGATCCTGCGGAGACACGTGGACCTGGACGAGTGTCCCTTCACCACCACAGAGGACGTGAGCGAAGACACTGGGACCTACCTGCAGCACATCAGTGACCGGGAGCTCCCTGATGGTGGGTCTGCGTTGTGTTCACAGGTGTTTGTTGCGTGTCTGAACTATTTGTCTAATCGAGGTTTTCTGTAAACAGAATTGGCACAAGAGGCAAACCCGTCGGACCACCCTAGAGCCAGCACCCTCTTCCTCAACAAGTCCCAAACAGATGGTTTGTATTTCCCAGAGAGTGTTTCTTTGATTATTACTCATTCTGTCTGTGCCACTTACTTTTTATTCTCTTATACCAGTTCGTGAGAAGAGGAAAAGCAACTACATGAACCATGTAAGTGACAAGTCGACAGTCGTGGGGTAAGACAAGTCTGTTATCACCAAGAATAGCATTCCTAATAAAAACAATACTGGGTTAAAAACATGAAAATTTGACTTTACACATACAAAAACACACACAACAGATTCCACTCCATCTTCTACTGCTGATCTAGTCAGGTCGCCAAGGCAGCAGGTCCAGGAGAGAAACCCAGACATCCCTCTCCTCAGCAACTCTTTCCAACTTGTCCTGGGGGACCTGGGACATTTCCAATACAGAGAAGATTCACAATTCAGTGAGTTCTGGGTCTTCCCCGAGGTCTCCTACCAATGGGACATGCCCGGAAAACCTCTAAAGGTAGGCAACCAGGACACATCCTAATTAGATGCCAGAACCACCTCAAATGACTCTGTTTGATGCAGAGGAGCAACTCCGAGCTCCCCTCCACTTTTTCTCAAGATGGGCCCATCCGCCCTACCAAAGAAGCCCATTTCAGCCGCTTGTACCCAGGATCTTGTTATTTTGGTCATGATCCAAACCTGACCACAGGTGAGGGCTGGAACGTAGACAGACCAGTAGATTGTGACCAAAGTGCTTTACAATTTAGTCAAATTAAAATGAGAACAAGAAAAAAAAGAAAATGCATCTTGTGCCATTCAGAAAACACAAGAAAGTTGACTATAAAATACAACACACAAGAAGAAACCTTGAAGAAACCAGACGACTGACTGAAGCAACACCCTCATTACTGAGGGACGAGACCCCAATCCATTGATCCATCTCTTGTCATCAATCGTAAACAGGAAGTCCAGATTCTTAAACTCCTCCTCCTGAGGCAAAGTCTCCCTCCTGGACCGGAGGAAGCATTCAACCCATTTCTGGTGGAGAACCATGGCTTCAGGCTTGAACTGACTTTCATTCCAGCCACTTCACACTTGGCTGATGGTGCTAGGATGGCATCATCTTAGTAGTTCGTTGGCAGGGCGCTCAGTTCTGTTGACAGGGCGGGGCACCCTCCTTGTATAATGGTAGGGGGAACACTGGAATGACTCAGCTACTACCACACCAAATTTTACCTTAGTGTTTGTAAAATTGACTTGTACCCTTTCGGTTTTAAAGCTCATTTGATTGTAGCAGCCGTCTTGAATTGGGTTGACACACTAAGTTAATGACATGTACATCTAATGATTACTTTTGTCAAAACTCGTCCAGTGGTTCATAGCATATTTTGCAATAGACAAACAAAAATTGGCAAAATAATAGTGTTCGCCTTTGCCTTTTGGCGACGGGTAATGGCAAAATGAAAAATCTGCTGATCAAATGTATTGATTAGCTGATCATCAGTGGGACCACCTCTAGAAGAGCAGTTTTGGAGCATTGCAGGTGCGTTAACAACAAGGCATCAACAATTACCTAAAAAAAATGGAACTGTTGCTGCCCATCAATCTAATAATGGCTAAAGGGAATTCCCAAACCATTTGGAGTCCAATATTCTACAGAGTTAAGTAGAAAACATTTAAGATGGCCACCAGTCTTCCCAGGAGTGGGTGTCCCAAAAAATTCCACCCAAGGTCAAACCATGCAATGCTTAGAGAAATGGAGGGGGAAAAAATCAAGACGCTTCATCTCCACAGTCTTCACTTAGCAGGTTACAGGACCTCTCAGAACGATAAGAAAAAGACAATGTTCCGTTTGGATGGGTCGTTATAAGAATGCTTCTTTAAAAAGAATATGGAAACCAATATAGCAACCTTAGGTTTGCAAAGTTGCATCTAAATGAATCCCAAGACTTCTGGAACATGGTCTTTCTAGACAAATGAGGCCAGAGGTCTTCACCCACAACACAGCTTCATGTTTGATTAAAGTCATCACCAACTGTCATGCACAGTGGTAGAAGGGTTATGATTGGGCTTGTTTTACAGCAGCAGGACCCGGGCACCTTGCATCACTGAGCCATCAACTTGTAAGACATGCCGACACAGAGGAACATGTTGTGTGTTTCTGTTCAGCTGCTAAACCTGGTAAAGATAAAATCTTCATATCCCCATACAGAAGACCCGAGAACTGAAAGACATTGGATGTGTTCCTACGTTGAAATTCAAAAGAACTGAAAAATGAACTTTAATTATGTCTTTGGGTGTTGATATATTGTTTTACCCAGATGTCTCCAGGGCTTCTGACTAAAAAGTACAGCTCCTGCTCGACAATATTCATCGATGACAGCACCGTCAGCCAGCCCAACCTCAAGAGCACCATCAAATGGTGAGAATGCTTTTTTTGTCCTGCTACAAATATCCTAATGGTTGTTAAAGGGATCTCACACTAGTTGGATCAATAGACCTTCTTTAATAAACAATTTCCATACCTATAAAAACGAGGCCGTAAAAATACTGTACGCTGTTTATCCTGATGCATGCTCAATAATCCAGGTAGAAAAATCTCGTCCAGAGGACCAGATTTAACTTTTTTAGATGTAGGCTGTTTAGTTTTTGGTAATTTCTAAGAAACGAATGAAACACGAACGTTGCCATTTTATTGTCGCTGCAATGCATTCTGGGTAAATGGTGTAGACAGGGTGCTTTGGTGCGAGCGCCATGCAGCTTGAATGTTAAATTTGGACCTTATTTTACGTTCAGCACTTTAGTTTGAAATGGAACGCGTTGAGAGGAGAGTGAAGAAATTCACATATGTCAAACTCAAGAGCTGTGGGCCAAATCTTGTCCCCTTATATGAAAATGTGAATGCAAAATATTATATCCTAATTTTTTCTTTAAAAATCTGATAAATGCATCATTTAGTATAAACTTCTCTTACTAGAGGGCTAACTTTGAAGCCAGAAAAAATGTTGGATCATTCTGTCATTATTGACTGATGTGCAAAGAGCAACAGAACATCAAATGACACAGACCAAACTCTTGTTCTTGAACCTGCAACCAAGAAAAGATATCGGGTACAGTGTTTCCCCTACCATTATACAAGCGGGCGCTGTGCCCTGTTAACAGAACTGACCTCCCCGCCTACCGGAACGAACTGCGCGTACCCCCAACCCGTCGGCACCACTGGCGTAACGCAATACAGGTGCGCTAGCTAAAAAGCTAAAGTCAGCGCTCACGCTGCCTCTTCCCTCACGCTAGAAACCCCCCCCCCCACCAGTCCGATACTCTGCTGTGTCTCTGACAACCCCCCACCCCCCCGAAAACTGCCGGTACAAACAGCACGCAGCTCATATGTGTGTGTGTGAGACCCCCCCAAAAAATAAATAAATAAAAATCTTGGACAAAATGAGCACCCCGCCATGGCAAGTTATCTAGGGGAAACTCTGAGGTATCAGACTCGAGTTAATGAATCAGCTGAAAGTGGCCCATGGCTCGGACAATTTTTTAAATTTTGGCTCCTTCTTGTGACCGATTTCGACTCCCCTATGATAAATGTTTAATAAATTAAACATCACAAGTTGATCACCTTTCATTGTTTCAACTCATATTTTGTTCATAAGGGACTAATAAAATATATAATAATTTCATAATCTGATAAATCTCAATCTCATAATTTCTGCTTTGGTCACATTACATCTGTATTATAATTGAATACTCCATCTGTACTGTTTTATAAGCTTTTTAATTGTTTTCTATTGTATGGGTGTACATATGGTTATGTTATGTTTTTAATTTAACTTTATTTGTGGGTGTACACAGGTCTTATGTCTTATGTAATGTTCTCATTTTTACTTTATTTTTACTTTATTTTACTTTATTACTATTCACACCTTATGTCGAAGCAAATTCCTAGTTTGTGAACCTCGTTCATTGACATGGCAATAATAAACTGATTCTGATTCTGATATAACTTTATTGTCATCTTATAGCTTTTCAGTCTTTTTTTTGTGTGTGTTTTAATCACTACAGCCGTTGTAAATCATCGATCCAGAATGCGTTGTGCCGGTAAAATAATGGCGACGTCCTGAAAAATGTATTAAATGTATATTTCTTTAAAGTTATTATAAGTTTTTATGTGGGCGGCATGGTGGCTCAGCTGGTAGAGCTGTTGCCTCTCAGCGAGAAGGTTGCCCGTTCAAATCCCGGCCAGGGATCTTTCTGGGTCGAGTTTGCATGTTCTCTCTGTGCTGTGTGGGTTTTCTCCGGGTACTCCAGTTTCCTCCCACAGACCAGAAACATGCATGTTAGTCTGATTGGTAACTCTAAATTGTCTCTAGGTGTGAGTGAGAGAGAGAGAGAATGGTTGTTTGTCTTGTTTGTCTCTGTGTGTCCTTGTGATGGACTGGAGACCTGTCCAGGGTGTACCCTGCCTCTCACACAGTGATAGCTGGATATGGGCGCCAGTGATCCCTATGTCCCAAAATGGAAAAAGCAGGTAAGGAAGGAAGGATGGATGGATAAATGGATGGATGGAGTTTTTACTTTTAGTAAAATAAAGAAATAACATACCAGTATTACGGCTCATATGTGCAAGTAGTCGGAGATCCCTTTATGGATGATGGGCCACTTGGTTTTGATAACTTGATTAACTGCAGTCCTCAAGTGATTTGTTGTGTTTCTGTGTTCCAGCGTATCACTGGCCATTTACTATCACATCAAAAACAGGTAGGAAAAGTTATAAATATTGGCTTACAAGTGGAAACAAGGGTTGACGGCGTATAAAAAATGGTAGCATGTATTTAACAGTTAATTAAAACTTTAATTGTCTGTTTGATTGTGATCCTGGCAACACACTTCAACAAAATTGGCTCAAGTTTTCGTGTATTCTGTTCAAATGATTTAAGGTCCAGGGAGAAAGAAATGACTGAACTTGGAATCTTGAACACATGTGCTTTTCAAAACGTAAATTTAAGAGTTTTACTTAGTGGTTTAGTTACTGGGAGATTAATTTAAAGAAGCTAGACTGAGATGGTCACGACGTGTGCAGAGGAGGGACAGTGGGTATATTGCTAGAAGGATTTTAGGAATGGGACATGGAATAAAAACTCACTGGTGGGTAAGGAGCTAGAGTTTTTGTGTGAGGTTGAATGATACCATCTAGATAAAGTTTGGCTCATCTATCTGCACATCTTGGACTCTGGAACTCCTGGAGAGGAGCTGGACTCTTTTCTACTCTAGAGTTGCTCAGGGAGAGAGGGCAGGTTTGAGCATACCCACAACCCCAACTGAATTAACAAATGTTAGTGTTTTCCCTGCCAAATAAGAGGGTTGCTTCTCTGCTGCTTCAAGCTTCTTGAAGTATGGATGTTGGAAGGGGTGCCATCTGGATATTCTGTTCAGTGTTTCTCCTACCATTATACAAGCAGGGCGCCCTGCCCTGTCAACAGAACCGTGCGCCCTGCTTACCGACCCCACCCCCATCGACAACTGCCGGCATTGATGCACCGCTAATCTAGCAGCACAATACAGACGTGCTAGCTATGAAGCTATGACTATGGAGGTAGCGCTCCCACTACCTCACTCTGAACCGTCCCCCCTCCCCTTCAAAAACTGTACAAACAGCGTGCAAATGCAGACGTGACTCCTTCTCCCCACCCCTGTCGACAGAAATCACGGACGATAGAAGTGCCGTAGCGCAACTAAACTACGGGAAACATTGCTGTTGTTGTACTAGGTGACTTCAGTGCCCATGTGGGCCATTATATGGATGGTGTGACTGGGAGGCATGGCTTTCTGATTTGAACCTGAATGGTGTTTTGTTATTGAACTTTTATGCTGGGCTGTCCGTAACAAACACCATGTTTGAGCATGGAGTAGTCCACAAGTATATTTCTTACCAGCCCACGTTGGGCTAAAGGTTGATGATCTATTTTTGTATCATGTCATCAGACTTGTGGCCCTTTGTCTTAGACATGGGAGAAGAGGGGCAGAGCGGTTAACTGATCACCACCTGATGGTGAGTTGAGTCAAGGTGTGCTGGAGGATGCTGGACAGACCTGGTGAACCCAAACACACAGTGAGGGTGAACTGGAAATGGCTAGTGCAGCCCCCTGTCCAAGCGACCTTCAACTCACACCCCTGGGAGAGTTTTTCCACATCCTGGAGAGGTCAGGGGATATGGAATCCAAACTGGTCATGTTCAGAGCTTCTTCAGGAGCCTGAAGGTTGTTAGTGCCTGTCGTGGTGTCAATTAAAAGACCCACTGATGGACACCAATGGAGATGGAGACCATCATGCTGAAGGAGGAGGCCTTCGGGGCTTGGCTGTCCCAAAGGACTCCCAAAGCAGCTGACAGGTACAGGGTGGCCAGAAGGACTGTGCCTTTGTGGATCTGGATGCAAAACATCAAGCATGGGACAAATTCAGAGAGGCCATAGAGAAGGATTTAATTTGGCCTCGAGGAGGTTTTGGCAAACCATTTTGCTGCTTCAGAAAAGGAAAGTGGACTTTATTCCTGGCCATGTTTGGTTTGGGCGTGGACTTGTTGGCTCAGACTGAGGATTTTATTAAGCAGTGGAAAGGGCACTTTGAGGACCTCTTCAATCCATCCACCATGTCCACTGTTGAAGACGTGGACACGGCGGATTTTCTTCTCACAAAAATTACTTGAAATGAAAAACCTCATGACTGGAAACGATACAAGCAAACTAGACAGATTTGATTGAATCAATGCAAAGCTGTCATTTATTTTTCACATTATACTTCATATTCAGATAATTTATTAAATTACATTCATTCAAACATGTTGTAACCCACTGAAAATCAAAAATAAAAGTATTTTTATATTTTCTATAGCAAGAAGCTCTGAAAAAGTTATTTGAGAGCCCTCAAAAACACACAGCAATGAGTAAAGTTATTTGATATTTATATGTGTGTATGTATATATATATATATATATATATATACACACACACACACACACATCAATGTTTCCCCTAGTATACATGACAGTAGGGCGCTCATATCGTCCGTGATTTTTGTTATTGGGGGGGGGGGGGGTGTAGATGGAGACACGTCTGTTTTTCGTATTGCCTTTACCAACAATTTTTGAGCAGTGTATGTGTGTGGGGTTATTTCCATCTGGAGTGTTAACTCTAGCTTTTTAGCTAGCGCATCTGTGTTGCGTGCGGCTAGCTTAGCGCTATGTCAGAGCCGATACTGGGGGGGAGCAGTTCGGTAGGAAGGGTGCTGGATTCTGTTGATAGGGTGGGGCGCTTGTATAATGGTTGCCTTCCCCCCTGGTCAACAACTGTCAGTATTGATGTAGTGCGGGATTAAAAACACAGTAGGCAGTAACGTAGCGCTAAGCCTGCGGGTGGGCAACACATTTGTGACTCTGTCCCCCACCCCCCAACAAAAATAAATACGACAAGTGCCCTGCCGAGGGAACTGATCTAGCGGAAACATTGCACTGATTTATATATTTACAGTACACACATACAGTATCTATATGATTTTATTTAATTTTTTAAGAATCCTGGTTAAGCTAGATTACTTTGTGTTTTTTTATTGGCACTTTACAAAAATAGCCACTTTATGTCAGTTTGTTATGAATATGAAATTCCAAAATGCATCGGGCCTCTCAAAGTTCAATACAACCATCAATAAAGGATCATCATTTTTTGCAATGATTAATTATTTTCCATGATTTTTTCAGAGACTCAAACCGCTCCCTGGATATATTCGACGAGAAGAAGCATCCTCTGTCGGTGAGTCTGCATGCAGCAGATTATGTTAGACAAAGCTGAGTAGTCAATGATGACAAAACTTTGCCCAACAGAAAGAAAAAGTGCCGGACGATTACTCTGTGGTCGATCCAGAACACAAATTGATCTACCGCTTCATTAGAACACTCTTCAGCTCTGCTCAGCTCACGGCCGAGTGCGCCATCGTCACTTTGGTAACGACTCGTTCTCATCTTTTCACTCCGGGCATTGTGCATCCTGAACTAAACACTGAACATTGCGTTAGGTATACCTTGAGCGGCTACTGACATATGCAGAGATCGACATTTGCCCGTGCAACTGGAAGTGCATCGTCCTCGGCGCCATTCTTCTGGCCTCCAAAGTCTGGGACGACCAGGCCGTTTGGAACGTCGACTACTGCCAGATCCTCAAGGATATCGCCGTGGAGGACATGTGAGCGCCTGAAACCATTATCTTACCAGCTGGTTGATGACTTGTTTTTAAATGACCTTGTTGAATTTGTTGAACAGGAACGAGATGGAGCGCCACTTCCTGGAGCTTCTCCAGTTCAACATCAACGTCCCGGCAAGTGTTTACGCCAAGTATTACTTCGACTTGCGCTCACTGGCTGACGACAACAACCTAAGTTTTCCTCTGGAGCCGCTCAGCAACAAGCGAGCCCAAAAACTGGAGGTTTGTATTATTATCAACCTGAAAAGGGTCTTGCCCTTATGTCAACTTTAATGCGGCCCGAACCACAAAATATCCCCCCACAAATTTTACATCAAAACGACCAGCTCGGCACCGTGATGTGTGCTATTACCATATTTTCCGCCATACACGTTGCATCAGTCAAAATATGTCGCTTCGCCATTTACGTTGCATCTATGATGCATCACTGCTGACGCATCGCGTTTGTTACGCATCATCACTGACAATCTGGAAATGCGGGCCGGTGTTGTGCCAAAAATCGATTGGCTGCCAAATGGTGGCCACGGGAGCATTCACGGGAGGACTTTAACAAGAATTTATCAAGATTAACACTTAAAAACAATTATTTGTTTGTTCGACATTTTAGCAAATGTGTGTCTCAGTTTAACTTTTACTTGATAAATGCACTTCAATGGTCAAATCAGCTGCATTTCGCCGGGGCGGCGCAGCGAAATGAAGCTGATTTGACGGTTGCTCCAGATGGTCCCGGAGCTGGATGACAGTGGCAGACTATGGCAAGCCGATTGTGTTGTTAATAGCCACTTTTACCTATTACATGACACAACAGCATGCCATACTAATCGAGTGCCATCTAGCGGCTGAAAATGGTAGTGTTCAATATTTTCAATGTCAGAATGAATGAAATCTCATATCTCAGCCAAAGCTAATTTCAAATAGATCTAACTCAGAGGTTTTTAGAGCTATTTAGGTGACATTTGGTGTATTGGTAGTTAGGAACAATCCCTAATATAAATCCAAGACGGCCGCTTGAGCTAAAAATGAAAAATACTATAAATCAGTCATTTTTAGAGATATTAAGCAGAAATTCAGGGTGGAGGTAGCTGAGAGCAATGTCCAATAAATACTGAATTCAAATACAAAATCCAAGATGGCCACCAAAGATACATTTAAATGTTTTTAACTCAGCTATTTTTACACACATAGAGCTTAAATTTGGTGAGACTATAGCTGAGAACGTTCCCTATCACATACTAAATCAAAATCAAAATTCAAGATGGCCACCAAAGCTAAAATGAAAAAAAAAAAAAAAAGAATAAGTCGTTGATTTTTTTTGCCACATTGAGCTGAAATTTGGTATGGTGGTAGTTGAGAGTGAACCCAAACACATAGTACTGTCAAATCAAACATTTAAAAGAGCTGCAACATGGCAGAGACCCCGTCATGAGTTTCTTCAGAAACTTTCTAGTTTGTTTTAGCTGGTATCTCACTGAGCTGCAGCTAGGCCTGTCGTGATAAACAATAAATCAATTAATCGCTTGATGAAAATTATCAACCTCATTTTCATTTATCAGCTTTATTGTTTCTTCGTGTCTCTCTCTTTCTACCAAAGACACTGGATGACAAAAAGCTCAACTCCGGTGCTCTTCACTGACTCCTCCCTTTCTCTTTTCTCGTTAATATCTGTTTCAACTGTCCAAAATTGCGTTTTTGGATCGTTCAAAGCAGCGAAGCTATGAGCTAAGCTAACAGGCTGACCTCGGGAATAAACCACCGTCTTGTCGAGCTCCAAAATTCACGGTTGAAATCCGTGCCTTCGTGTACAAAGTTGTTTTTCTCTGCAAAAAGAAGCTGAGAACTTGTTTACTGATTATTTATTAAAAGCTTTGAGTGAAAAATGCTACACTAAAGAGTAGGAATGCGAGATATAAACAGTACACGGTAGAAACGATAGAAATGTAGTTTACGATAGAGATCTGACTTCTACCGGCTAACCGCAGTAATGCTGTGTCTGATGTAAAATCAGAGTTGTCAGATTTAATTGTTACTTTTTTTTAGTTGAAAACTGTGCGCAAGTGGTGTTAAAATCTTTTCTTCGAGGGCTAAGTAGAGAAGCTACAAGCTAACTACGCCCGGTTTGCCATAGTGTTGCCGTATTCTGACGCATGCACAAAACGCTGTGTTCCGTCGAAAGTTGTTGGTGTTTTTTCTCATCGAAAGTTAAAGTAAGCGTTGGTCAGCTTTAGAGAAACCTGCTCTCTGATCTGTGAAAATAATGCTGTGTTGTGTGATTTTACTGCGGGACCCTCTGGTCAAAGCCACAGACTCATTTTGTGTCAGTTCTCCATTAAAGCAGAAGGAGGCGCCCACTAGAGGGTTGGAGGGTGAAGTGTTTCAGTGTAAAATGCTGCTCTGTTACTGTTCATTTCTTAAGTGAGAATACTGGAAACTGTTAAAAGAGTTAAGAACATATTATCCTGATGCATGCTCAATAATCCAGGTAGAAAAATCTAAAAAAGTTAAATCTGGTCCTCTGGACATTCAAGAAAACAAAACAAAGCAAAACAACAAAAAAATATAGAAACGTTTCGTCTCTCATCCGAGAGACTTCTTCAGTCTGAGGTGCTGTATTCAGCTCAGTCTCTTAAATAGCACCTTCTCAGAGTGGATCAACCAGTTTTGCTGCTGACAACCAAAACCAGCTGATCACATGCTCAAGAAGGACCATCAGCCTAACAATGGATCATTAGCACACTGATGGCTGTTTACTGTTCACAGAGGGCTGAGTGATACTAGCAATCACAGCATTGTAAGAGGGGGACAATTGAACACGTAGGCCTCCACCCCTGTTTAACGATGGGCGATTTCTTTTCACAAAGATGGCCTCCTTTACTCCTCTCTCAAACCATCGTTTCTCTCTATCCAGGATGTGCACATCTTCATCCCTGAAAGAGTGACCGCTGGCCTGGAGATGAGTGTAGACCGCAGAGTCCTGGCCTGATGATGTTGATCTTCTGTGCTGGGCCATCCTTTTGGCCCACTAAACAGCCACTGGCCAAAAGGATGGCCCAGCACAGAAGATCAACATCATCAGATCCATTGTTAGGCTGATGGTCCTTCTTGAGCATGTGATCAGCTGGTTTTGGTTGTCAGCAGCAAAACTGGTTGATCCACTCTGAGAAGGTGCTAGTTAAGAGACTGAGCTGAATACAGCACCTCAGACTGAGGAAGTCTCTCAGATGAGAGACGAAACGTTTCTACATTTTTTTGTTGTTTTGCTTTGTTTTGTTTTCTTGAATGTCCAGAGGACCCGATTTAACTTTTTTAGATTAAGAACATATTATTTTGTTTAAAACATATGGCTAAAACTACATTTGATATCTTTTGCACTGTTTTGCACTACAAGAAAGAAGCCTAAAACTTGATTTGTTTATTATTTTAAAACTCTCTGGACCTATTAGTGGAATTTTCTTAATTCAAAATATATCATGGCAAAAGGACACCCTATGCTTTTTTATTCCTATTGCAAGTTTTAGACCAAAAATATATTGCGATATATATCCTTATCGCCACCCTTCACAATACATATCGTGATATGTATTTTATGCCATATCACACATTCCTACTAAAGAGCTCAAACCACACCGAGCGTCCACCATGTCAGCCCATGCCACATCAGGGACCCTCCCTCCCATTTTTCTTAAAGAGACACACTACTCAACTATCCATTCTTTGGTTCAAACATTCTTATACTGCCATCAGGTGGTCAAAAAAGGTACTACACACCAAGCAAATCAACATTTCCTCTAAAATTTGACAATTAATTATTGTTAAATGTAGTGGACTAGGCCCATGTCAAAAACTAAGTCTAAGGT